TTTTTTTTTTGCAATTTGGCTGGAGTCAGGTTTGAACCCACCACCCTTGGTATATGGGGCTGGTGCCCTAACCACTGAGCGACAGGCACCACCCAATGATAGAATTTTCTAGTGATCAGCATACTCAGGACTGATGTGTGGGACACTTCTCAAAAGAAGCACTAGGGAAACTGAGTTAATGTTTACCAATATTGTCCATTGAACAGAGAATAGAGCACTGGGATTTGGAAGCTTTCAGAGATGTGTTCACCTTGGACAAAAGAAGCTTAAAGAATTTAGTCTAGATTTTTCACCTTTACAAACTGATGTCTCTCACTAAGGAAAAGTGCTGTATAAACCTAGAAAAGTTATGCTTTGATGTTGCTTTTCCAGAGTCCAAGCAAATGTATCAATTATTTATCAAATATTGCTATTAAAATGTTCTTTCTTTGGATGTTACCATATACTGAATTGGCTTAATTAACTTAAAACTGTGGCTCACATCTTCTCTGACAGGTAGTAGTTACCTAGACTGAGATTTGCCTTTTCTGCTTGTCTCTGTGTTCCTTTTTTCTGTCTCTACCTTGTATGTGTGCGTGTGCTTGCCATTTCTTGTATTTCAGCACGGACAGGGGAAAAAATGGCTAAGATCATCCTTCTTGGTTTGTGTATTTTTAAAGTTTTTTCTTTGGCGAGTAACCTCTTAAGTTGAGTGTGTCTTGCTCTGGCTCCTTGTGTCCTCACTATATTGACTAATGAAATTCTAGCTTATTGAAAAACTGAATATGCTGTTTATATTTGTTTGGTGCTAGCATATACTCCTTTCTGTAGTTCTAACTTTTTTTTTTTTGAGGCAGAGTCTCACTATGTCGCCCTCAGTACAGTGCCCTGGCGTCACAGCTCACAGCAACCTCAAACTCTTGGGCTTAAGTAATTCTCAGCCTCAGCCTCCCAAGTAGCTAGGGCTGGGACTATAGGTGCCTGCCACAACACCCAGCTAGTTTTTTTTTTTTTTTTTGAGACAGAGTCTCACTATGTCACCCTTGGTAGAGTGCCATGGTGCCATAGCTCACAGCAACCTCAAACTCTTGGGCTCAAGCTATTATCTTGCCTCAGTCCTCAGCTGGAACTATAGGTTTCTGCCACAGTGCCCAGCTATTTTTTTGTTGCAGTTGTCATTTAGCTGGCCTGGACCTGCCAGCCTAGGTGAATGTGGCTGATGCCATAACCACTGTACTACGGGTGTCAAGCTAACACCCAGGTAGTTTTTTAGAGACGGGATCTTGCTCTCGCCCAGGCTGGTCTTGAACTTCTGAGCTCAAGCAATCCACCTAGCTTGGCCTCCCAGAGTGCTAGGATTTCAGGTGTGAGCCACAGCCCTCAGCTTTATTGTATAATATTTTATATGAAGCTTATGCAAAATAGTCTTCTTCAAATTGAAAATGCTTTTGGGGCTCGGCGCCTGTGGCTCAAGCGGCTAAGGCGCCAGCCAGCCACGTACACCTAAGGTGGCGGGCTCGAATCCCCAGCCCGGGCCCGCCAAACAACAATGATGGCTGCAACCAAAAAATAGCTGGGCGTTGTGGCGGGC